TATTATCACCTGACTTATTATATATTTATCTCTTTATTATTATTCTTTGTCAATTACAATGAAATTTCCATGAGATCAGACTTTATTCCTTTATGTAATAGGTACTCAATCAGTGTCATTGAATGAATGGATCCTTGCCAGTTGTTAAAGTCCTATTAGCAGTAATCAATCTACAGGGAGTCCCTAAACCAGGACCTATTCAGTATGCTGTACCTCGCATATGGCCTCTTTCCTGAGGAATAATAAGAATTAAAGAGATTTTTTATATGAATGGGAGACATGCTTTTTTTTTAAAGATTTACCTTCAAAATTTTAATAAGGGTATGTTAAAGCTGCACAAAACTGAAATATTCTCAAGTTTTAGATATGAGGTGATTACTAAGGAGCAAAAGAATATCTTTTAAAAAATGTAATAGTTATAGTCAAAATATGTTGAATTATTCTTGGAAGAATTTTAAGTAGCTTTTTTTTTCTTTTGAACATTATTGTAATTACTATTTCAAGGTGTTCTAAAATAATAGTTTCTATACCAAGTTTTTTCCTAAGCAAAATAGTTTATATAGTTTTTATACCATCACTATGTCGATAGGTGGCGTGTCTACTTAAATTTTAAAACTTGAATTCTTTTTTTTTTTAATTCTTTATTTCCTCACATTAAAAATCAAGTTTGTAAGACGTGATAATGTCAGATGTTTTCAACATTCCTGCAAGATAATGCTCACATTTGTTGTTTCCGTCTTATAGAAGATAGAGAATTCTTTGTTCAAGACCAGTTAGGCCACTTTAGAAACAGTAGGCCAGTTTTTCCTCAGACTTGTCTATCTGCTATCACCATCATATATATTTTTTCCATATCCACAGACCACTTACAAAAATTAATATTTTTCTTTAATATATTTATTTTGACACTGAACTTCATTTTTAAACCCAATTTTATATTACTGTCATAAATGAGAAACTAGTATAATTTGTCATAAAAAGAATATAATGTAAAAAAATAAAATTGATAATAAAATACTGTTAAGTTCTGCCTAGGTTCCCTTACATGCTAAAGTCTGAGTCTGAGGCTTGTTCTCTATATTAAAAATGGAGATTTGCCAGAGTTAAAGATTGTCATCTTATTATAATCAGAAGAACGAAAAGAGAACTGAAGAAAAAACACTTTTCTTATTGTGAGTGTGTGATTTAATTGTTCCAGTGTTCTCTAAATTCTCTCGAGTAACTCCTACAGTTATCTTGCACCACAAGTGATTTGAGTCCCATGCTTTGAAAAACATTCACCTTAATACTGTCAAGAGTTAATGAGATGATTGTGATGATTAATCTTATTCAGTTCTGAAAACCATCAATTTCCTGCAAAGCCATTGAGAGAGTCCCAGAGCCACCTTCTTACTGATTCTCAGTCTTGGACAGAGGGCAGCACGAGCCTGGGAAAAGGCAACACTGGTAAGGGTGTTCTCGTTGGCTTTTTGGATATATTTTATTTTTAAAAGGTGAAAGTAGTGAAACAATTTCATTATATTACCTATAGGAATTTTGTTTTAAAGTCGGACTCCCAGTGTAAATTTAGAATTATTTTCAATAACATCTAATTGTGAAGTACTTTGATTTATCTCTATGAGCTGTAGAAAATCGTTTTATGAAAAATAGATCTACGTTGTATTTTTTTCAGTTTAAAGTATCAAATCTTTATTACTGAATATTAAATGATAGAAATAAACTCAAAATACAATTTTTAAATATAAAAATGTAATTGTTTCAGACAAAAGTTTGAAAAATATCTTAAAGGAGCTTAAATTATGCAATTCTTTTACTCAAGATTTCAATGCAATTTCAAAATGTCGAAGTGATTGCACAATTACCATAACTTTACCATAACTTTAGTTATTCATATTTCTTATTATTGTTATTGATTTTAATCTTTTGATTACTTTCTTGGTGAAGAACAAGCAAGGCTTTGAAGTCAGATCTGATTTCAAATCCCATTTTAGGCACCTGATCAGCGTGTGATATTTAAGTTACCCAATCTCTTTTAGACTGAGCTTCCTTATTTTTAAAATACTATTTATTTCTCAGGTTTGGGAAGGATTAAACAAAACAGTGTGATCATACATGCAGGTGTGAGTATATATGTGTGGTATCTCTATAAATGAGTACAAAACCATACATCCATGGGTAAGGCACTGTTAACCAGAAAATCTCCAGGTTGACTAATTTAACTTCTAAAATCTTTCTCCTTCATTTCTAGTCTTCCTTAAACTCTCTCCTAGTGCTGCCTAATTTTGGCATTGCACTTTAAAGTTTTTACTGGTTTATTTGAAATCTCTTTGGGATTTAGTGATGGCGAAAAACAAATTGATAGAATCCTAAGTAAAAATTATAAGGTCATTATTTAGTATATAATCAGTCATAGTCTCCTAAAATAGACTTTCTTTAAAAAGTTTTGTTCTTAAAGAATACACACACACACACACACCCTCTGAAGATCATTTGAGTATTCATAATTTGGTCTCTCTTCACCTTCAAACCTGCCATTTCATTTTACAATCTATGAATAAGTCTAAGCATTAGCTACATAAAAATTGATGATACCTATTTCCCTTTGAATCCATCAGCTTCCTTAGAGGCAAAGAAATGATGTATAGTTGGGGATCAGTTTTGGGGGTGAGTTTTGGGGGAGACAAAGAGCTCTTTCATTTGGAAGGGTTTCATCTTATAGTTCTACATTAAAATATAAGTGATTTCTTGGTTTTTATGTGCTGTTATGTTAGATTAATTTTTGTTACTTTAATAAATGCATAAGAAATTAAAGTTTAAAAGATGATGTAAAAGAAGAGAAACGAGAAAGATGAGATGAGAAAGGGCTCAAAAATTAGTTAGAATGAGGTTGGTCAATGAAAAATGAGGAAACGATGGCTTAAGATGATGTGAGAAGTTTGTGTATGTGTGTTTCTATATGACCATCTTATAAACATCTATATTATGTAGGGTACCTTTGGAAATATAGTAGGGGGAATAATGGATGAATAAACAAGTCTCTGCCTGTTTTGTTCAACAGCAACCCCAAAAATGCTAATTTATGTTCTTTCTTGAAGGTTTGAGCAATCCTGCATTAACCATGGAGAATGAGACTTAACTCTTCGAACAAAATAATTTTACTTTATGGAAGTAAGATGTTTTTCTTGTATTATTTTATATTTTTAACCTTTTCCAGTTCTCTTCGGGCAGAAAGGTTCCATAAACATTATTATTTATTTTTGAGTGTTTCACATTAACAGACATCTTAGCTGACCTTGAGATTGCATTAATCATGCTGGAGACCTCTGACATGGACTTAGCTTCAGTATTAGCTAGTATTTAGGTGAACTGTATAATAGAAATAAGTTGATGAGCAAAATTCATTTTTCTAGTAATGCATCAAATGACAAGGATTGATCCTAAGATACTGAACTTTACATGACAATTATCTTGTCATTTCATAAGTGTTCAATTTTTTATTTTTTTCTATCTTTCCAGATATACAGTGGTCATGTCCTTGACCATCCATTAGCAGAATTTCACTGAAAAGTACAAGATAATTATATCTTGTTAGCTTAAACCTGCCATTCTTATTTTTGGTCATAGTAGGACCTCCATAGCATGTGCCATCCTTAAAGTAATAGGTGTTCCAAATAATTTTCTTTAAACAATAATTTTTTAAACCTATATTTCCAAATCAATTTCTTTAATACATAATCTATTTATAAGTCTGCAGTCAATAAAAAGCTACAATAAAGAGTCCCTTTGGAACAAAGCCATAAATATCTAAACAAAATAAACAACTATATGTACCATTATAATAAACACAATATAAACATTAGTTATCAAGAGAACTCTATTTACAAAACTGCAATCCAGAATCCTGAAGTCTTATCTAAGAAAAGCAAGAGAGCAGCATCTAAAACACATTTATGTCAAAGTACTTCATTGGTATCTGAGGGCATTTTTTAAATTTGTGTTTGTTTTTAGCTCATTTTATTCCTCAAAATATTTTTTAATCTTTTTTTTTTTTTTAATGTTTTGTTTCGCTCTTATTCAGGAGCAAGATACTGATCTGGCAATTTGCCAGTTGACTAGTTTGGTTTTGGGTGACCACACTGTGGTATAGTAGGTCAGATTAATCATAATTACGGTTAGGATAGTGAAAATTTAATCTTCTTAATTTGGTTAAATATCAAGGAGACAATGTTAAATTTTGGAATGGAAATTAACAATGGAAATTTTAAAATGTAACTGTGAATGCACAAATATGAATCATTATAGTATCACAAATAAATATTTTGCAGAACCTAGTTCTGTAAAGCATATAAAGTTTCACAGGATTTTGAGTATTTGAATTATTAGATATAATTAACAGTTTGTGAGGTCATGTATTAAATATTTTACATATTTACATAGTAATATCATAGTATCATGTAGATGTCCACGAATTTTGACACAAGACCAGTATTGTGTTTGTTCACCATTATTCTCTACACTGCACAGTACCAGACACACAGTAGGTTCTAAATGAACATTTTATAAGTCAATGATAACATCACTAAAATCAAAACTCACTTGATTTTATTACATTTGCATATAAGACATTAGCAGTCATAATAACCAAATGACAGCATGAATCAGCTGCATTGACATTGAAGAAAAGTCATTTTCTAATGTAAGGTTTTTCATTCTATTGACATAACCAGTAAGAGATTTCTTTAAAAATTTAATTTGCTTAAGGTAGCTAATAATCCAAATAGTTTGTTTTTAATATAGATTTCTGATTTAAATCTCAAACAATTCATTCAGCGCACATTTATATTGAATAATATTACCTGATATTGATATACTTATGTTACTGGTATCTTCATATTCTCTTTTTGAACTGCATTAATAATCTGTGGGCTTTTTATAAAATATTTCTTAGCATATTTCCCAGGTAGTTATAATGTGCCTATATCTATAGCAATGCCAAACTGTAGATTAAATTTAGCCTATCCAACCTTCCTTGATACAATATAAACAAAAAATATTGTGCTTCTACGCACATAAAATTTCAAAATCATTTCTCAGTCCCTTTTTGAACTCAGTTGTCACTTCTAAATGCCAGTGGCCTCAGACAAATATAACAGTTATAACACTCAAATTGGGACCCCCAAATCAGTAGCATTGGCCTCACCTGAGTGCTTATAAGAAATGCAGAATTTTGGACCTCACCTTAGGTCCAATCATAAACTGCATCTTCTCTATTTTAACAAGATCCCATGGTCTTGTATATGCACATTATAGTTTGGGATTCATCGATGTCAAGGTCTAAATTCAAGAACTCATCTACTGAGCCTTCTAGTATAGAAAACATTTTATTTTGAACAAGGGATATTATCGCAACAATCAATGAGTTGTTTGTTGGATGAATGAGTTGTTAAGTGTTGGTTTTTTATATAGTTAATACAAGTGTTTCATTTTTTCCGTTTCATTTCAAGGGATCAATGTTGTAGATGGATGGAAGAGGTTTTCCACAGGAGAACACCATTGACCAGTCGCTCCCATTTCTCCTTGGCTGGATATGCAGATTATGAATTGATTAGTTCTCTCCAAGCAGTTGCTTAAATCATCACATTTTTATTCAATATACAGATTGTTTCAAATAACACAAATTCCTGTGAAATATTAAAAGTAATTATGGTTTATGAATCAAGGGCAAAAATATCGTCTATCATAAAAACTTGGAATAAATTCATGAGCCAGTTTCCACCCAAATATTTGGGTAGCACACTTTATCACATAAAAAGCCCATTAATCATCTGATTTTCTAATTTAAAAAATTAAGACAAAGATAATGAGATTTAAAAGATTTGAGGTCACATTATAATAATGTTTTATTCATTAGACATATTAGTTACCTATGGGAAGATGGAGGTAGCAAATCAGACTTTTATTACCTCTGATGTGAATCTGGTCTCAGAGAGAGTGAACTGTCATAACTAAGAATCCATTACAAATCCAAATGACCTACAGTTGAAGACCACCATGCATTTTTTGCTAGACTTTAATCTAATTTCCCTTTTGTTGCCTGCTTGAAAGGAAGTATATAATCACTGAGAGTTGAGCTCCCTGATAAACATTTGGCTAGAAAATTTTTGTAAGAGTGAATACATTTCTATTACATCTGAAACATGTTTTTCATATCTTTTAATTGAGGGAACATATAATAACAATTATGAGGACTGTTTTGTGATATTCTTTTGCTAGTTTGGCTTTAAAAAATCTTGTTAGTTTTCTTTGAACATAGCGAAAAATACTGAATTTTTGTTACGAATTCCTGATGGGTCAATAGATTAATCCTTCACTTTATGCCCTCTCATCAAAAGTATGAGTTAAACTATATAATTCTTCAAACACCTATGAAAATTATGCAAATCAGACAAAAAAATCATATACTTGTGGAAATTTAGTTCAGCGTGCTGTTTGAAAACTGAGTTTCAGATAAACTAAGTGGTGTGTTTGTTGATGCCAAAATGTTAGGCTTCACCATGAAGCTCTTGTGCCTTGTATGCACTATTTAAGAAAAAATGTTTTATTTTCCTCTTTTTCAATTTGATGGAGTGTAAGTTTTGTAAATGTTAGTGCTTAGAATAAGCTGTGTACATTTTTTTGGTACTGATTTTCAGAATTTAAAGTGGATTACCTTTTAAAACTATGTAGATAAGGAACTGGTATTTACTAAAAAAGAAAATGGTATTAAACTTTTCAAAATCTGAGGCAAAAATTCAACACAAAATAGACTAGAAGGCCAGAGGATAATGGAGCAATAGATCCTTGCAATTACTCATCCTTGCTAAAAATATAGTTTCATATTAAATGAGTTAATGGAAGAACTAGTGTCGGCCCAGTCCATTTTCTAGATCATTTGAGTGTAAGAATGCCAAGGATGGCAGTCTTTTTCAGATTTTTTTTTAAAGCTAAAGATTTTGATCTGACAATCTGGTTCAAGAAATTTCAGAACATATGATACATTTTTACCTTTCTCTTAAGGCATTTTTTGGTCACCATCTTTCATTACCTGAAGTGCCAGGTTGGAACCTATAACTACTGCTAGAAGTCTTAAGGGCAACAGCATCACATGATGTATTAAGAATTATATGCAGCCAGATATTTTTAAAGCACAGTACTATAGCTGTTTTTATGGAACAGGATTAAGATATTCCCTCCGACTAGAAGCTAGGAAAGGAAAAAGGGATTTTTTTTTTTATTCTTTATTTTGCTAAAGTACTGTTAATCTTTCCCCCATTTAGGTCTTTCATGTAATTTTTGGAATACATAAGTACGCATTAGAATCAGATTTGAAAAATTTTTAAAATAAAATTTCTTTAAGTTGTAATGGTTCTTTTTGTTTCTCACAGTGAATAATTTTTTTAGTTTTAATTCTAAGGGGTTATAATTTTTAGAGATGATGGCATATCTCATTAGTTATGTAGTATTTTACTTGAGTCAATAAAACAAATACTTACATTTTGTACATTTTTAGAAAATGTACTTTAAAATATTTAAAATGTTTTTCTTCAGAAAGACATCTTATACTTCAACTGTCCCAATAATCTATTAAACTAATAATTTTGATTTCTCCAGTTTTTAGAGGCTCTACCATACAGGTATCAATATTTAAGAAACTGTTTAACTTGATACAGGTATCAATATTTAAGAAACTGTTAAATATTGTACAGATGCATCATATACATTAATCAATTTTGTTTAGTAAGGGTTTTTTCAAAGATGAATTATTTTCTCTAGACACATTTCTTTGGTCTACATTCAAGCAGCATGATCTAACGTCACCATCAGAAAATGGCTTTGCTTGGCTAACAAATGGGCCACTTATAAACATACTTTGGTTATGGCCACATTTTCATTTTTTTATTTTTGTGAATAAATTATGCTGTGATATTCTATTTTAAAATTTCTAATTCTCCTGTTGCTTTCCCATGAGTTGGGAATATTGTGATGAGTCCTTAGTCTGGTTATGTCAACATATATTGTATTTTTTTTTTTTTTAGCACAGTTATAGTCTCATTGCATGATAAACAGCATTTTACCATTAATTTGATAAGATAATCCTTACTTCAATGTGCCTTAAAAGCACACCATTCAAAGTGCACTTTTAACACAATGGGTATGAATTGGTAACAGAAATAATAAAATATTGTGATACAGAGATATCAGCACTCCAAATGTCGTCGGGTCACATCTACATCACCCATTTTGTAGCACAAACCAAGCAGAAATGTAACATGATAACAACATCACAGGCAGTTTCTGTAGCAGCTACTCAACTCCTCTAGTGTAAAAGCAGTCATAGACAGTATATAAATGATGAGTGTGGCTGCACTCCAACAAAACTTTATTTATGGACACTAAAATTTGAATTTTATATAATAGTCACATATCAGGAAATACTAATTTTTTCCCCAACCATTTTAAAACTGTAAAAACCATTCTCATCTCACTGGCCATACAAAAACAGGCAGCAGACGGTTTTGGCCTGCAGGCCATAATTTACTGACCTTTGCTCTATTAGATTTAACAGAATATGGTGAACCCAGAATTAATGGCTCAGGAACACTAAAAGTTTATCAGCCAAATATCTCTTATTCAAAAGCTAGATTTAGTAAAGGTCATAATGTTCTTATAGAAGTTATAAAAACATATTATTTCTTAGAGACAGAAACCAAAACTGATACAAATTATGAAATCGAGCAACTAAAAGGCTACTCAAAAGGCAATCTTTATAATTTTTTTTAAGGTGTAAATCAAAATAAATAGAAACCAATTAGATACCTGCTATATTGTGTCAGCTTTAAAAAGCCATGATGTTATACCAAATGCATTTACTTCGAGGTAATAAGTCAACACTGTTGAAATGCAGAAGGCTCAGATTGATTTTTCAATTAAGAGATTAGCCTTAGTTTATGAAATTACTGTTTTCTGTTCAGCTGCCCCTCAATGTCCCCCAAATATTTCCAAAACAAAATTACCAGTCATCAACATATAAGAAAACATTTCTGAAGCCTTTATTTACAAAAGCTTTTAAAAACAAATACCCTCTGTTTTGCAAATAATGTTTTGTTTAAAAAGGACCACCCAGTTACAGCATTGTAATATGAATAAAGAATGTACAAGGAAAACAAACCAATGTGGCTAACATTTGGAGATTTGCTACTATTACTGATTGAAGTGTAGATAACACACATCATAACTTGTAGTCCATCACTTCAGGGTACAGTTAATGATTACCAAAATGTCTTCCTACACATGCTCTGGTCTGGTCACATTCTGCATGGCTAAATATTTCACAGTCTCTTTTGTCAATATATATAAAATAGATTGTAAAGATATATACAAAAAATAAACAAGCATTACACTCCTCAGGTAATTTTATTAGCTATATATATTAGCTATATGTGTATATGTATATAGCTAATATATATAATTTTGTATTTTGTTTTGTACCAAATCTCTCCATTATTTATCTTTGTAGCAACTATGAAAGCACAATTTTTTTGTCTTCTAATTTAATTTGGTACAAAATATACCTAAAGACTTGCTATCTTTGGACTTTAATGAAATTGATTTGTGGAATCAACAAATCAAGAGCATCATAAACATGGCCATAAAATTTTTAAAAATTAAAAATAAAGGTAAACAGTGATGGAATAAAAAGAAGCAAATCAAGGGAAGTGTGCTATCATAAAATAACTGTAGCTTCAACATCCTGGATACCAGTGTCCTGGCAGACAATAAACATCCAATCACAAGGGATTTTTCCTGAAGGGTGTAAAGCTGGTTTGAAAAAGTCTTCAATCACAGAGCAGCCTACACATGCCAATTAGAAACTGACAGACACTAGATGTGCTTGGAAGATTAAATATTAAGTATAGAAACAGCAGTTACTAAGCTCCTCAGTAGTTTTTTGTCTTTTTTTTTTTTTTGTAGTCTTGCTGAGTCAACCATTTGCACAATGCATGTGCTATATTCCATGGGTCAAAAACAAGTAAATACTGTATAAAGTTGGCAGATGGTCATTTTTCCAGCTAAGAGCAAGAGAAAATTTCTGATAAAACAGAGGATTTGAGTCAGAATCACTCTCTAAAGTGCAAAATTGATGGTCCACAATTTCAAATAGCTAAAACTCCTGCAGAATGGAACGGAGACATGAAACAGGGAAATAAATTACAGTCAGTGCTAGTTAATTTAGGAAAGGGGAAAAACAAACCAAGCTCAAGTAGGTAAAGTTGGTATGATGTAGCTTTCCCACTCTGTCACACACGCCTGCTAACAAGTATTAAGGCCAAATTTAACCTGAATGCTTTTCTATTTAAGTTCTGAGATAGGAATGCTCATACTTAGCAGTGAAAGGCAGAAAATAGAATGGGCTATGAAAGAGAAAAAAAAAAAGTACTTTCTATTGTTCAAGGGATTCAACCAGAGATAAAAACCTATATACAAGCATGTGTGTAGCTCAAATAAAATAAAAATAAAAGGACTATTTCATGTCATGACTGCTTGTTGGCTTCCTCTTCATATGCATTCCCTGTGCCATTCTGTACATAGGATGAACCAGAACCAAGGCCATACAAATGACCACAATATTTGGCATCATCAATATGATCTTCAAAGAACATCTAAAAAGGAATTTT